CACACACACACACACATAAAAAGGAAAATAGACATAACCTGGACATGCTTTGTGCAGTTACAGCTCAGCAGCATTTAACACGATCAACACTATCTATTGATCTATTATCAGATAATTTGAAATATGGGCAACTGTTTTCTGATCCTCTGCTGCACTGGATTCAATTGATCATAGTATCCTTCTTGACCTCTAATGGGAACTGTTCACTTTTTCTTCTGCTTCTGGTAGAAAGCATTTTGTCTACATTGGTGACCATCTTTTGCTTACAGCCCAAGTCTGTCAAGAAGTGCCTCAAGGCTCTTTACTTGGCCCTTTTCTTTTTTTATTATCTACATGCTATGCTTACATTCCACCATGGTTTGAGGTTTAATTTATATACTGATGATACACAAAATTTACATCAGCAACCACATACAGTACCTCCTGTCAGACCATCCTCTGGGAATAACAAATCTGGTATCACCAAGACTCCACATTTGAGTCTCTCAACTTTTTTTTCTCAAAAACACTTCAAGACTCTCTGACTCTCTGACAGCAACCCTCATTTCTAGCAGTGCTTTGTGTAAAGCATCCTTTAAAGCTGCAACACACGTAAAAGTTATTATTATTATTATTATTATTATTATTATTATTATTATTATTAATAATAATAATAATAATAATAATAACAGTGTCTTCACTGACACACGAGTGGGGAAAGAAAAGAGGGTGGAGGTCCACAGAGAGGGTGGTGTTTTTCTAAATGCCACCAGATAAACAGTTTCAGAGATTTGCGACCACACCTCAGCTATCATTGGATGAACTTCAAACATTATTAATCAGATAATTAGACCAAAGCAAAATGACAACACAGACATACTAACCATCATTTTTATTTTAACCCTTTTATGACTGCTTGGAAACATGATGTTTGGGGATTATAAAAGATGTGATTTCAATTTTGGAAACAATTATATTATTTGACACTCAGAATAGAATAGTGGCAAAATACGTTTTTAATCATATGTTGCTTCTAATCATTCATAAGAACTGACTTTGATTTTTAATTTCTTTTAAGCACAATTAATTTATGAAAGTGCAACATGCTAAACACATTGTAGCTCTTTCTTCTCTTGCAATTACGGTCCATCCACCCACCTCGAAACCTACTACTTTTTGTGAACAAGTTGGGTATTTTTAAAGAAGTTGCAAGTGTTTAAAGCATGGGTTTTGTTTCTTCATTTCTGTACACACGAGCTCTGTTCCTGGTGGCAGTGTTGAGCCGGGCCAACTGTTCCTCCAGGCCTGCAGGCCCTCCTTGATGGCGACTGTTGAAGACGCAACGAGAGGTGTAAAGTGCAGCAAGGCAGTGTGTGCGGTGGGCTGGGGTGATCCCTCCCACGTCTCTTTACTCATGCTGTCCTGAGGGGAGGCAGACACCCGGCCAACTGGTGTCACTGCTTCGCCGCCAAAACCACTGAGTCACTGTGAAAATGGGGCGCAGACTCTGAATTTGTTTTTTCCACCCCACACACACGCTTTTCCTTTGTTTGTGTGGTTTGCCTTTAGCTTCTTGACCATCCAAAAGTGTACAGTGATACAGCCAACACAATGTTGACTTGTTGCCTCTTCTACAGGAACATCCCATCAAAGTTGCCAAAAAGTGCATTGTTTAGATTTTTCTTGCTAAATGTGTTCAAAAATTACACAAAAATTTGTTGTTTACAAAAATTTATTCATACAAATCTTACAACACAATTTTTTTTAGACATTTATTGACTTGAACCTTATAGATCTCAGTTTTTGTAGTCTATCACTTTTCACACAGTAAATATAAATATTTATATATGTATCTGAAGATTATTTCAGTTTTGTAAGGCTATGGGCGCTTTTATTATCATACATGTAATAATTCACGAAGAAGCTTCAGCTTCCTTGTCTTTTCACACACACACACAAGTAAAACTAGTGCTCTAAAACAAAGTGCACACAAGAAAAGCAGTGCAAGCAAAAATTATGGATGTCTAAGCTTGACGGCGATTAAGATCCTATCGAACATTGGCGTGCCACAAAGACAACAACTAAAAGGTGATGAAATGTGAGCTGAAGATGTGCAGCATTGAAGGGCTACTAAAGAGCCATCTGTGATTCATGGCATTTTTTTTACAGTCGATGCAAGGCACCACAGCTGCAAACTGCATCCTGCGTCACAAAGCCTGGAGGGAAATGCAAAATTAAAGAGAGATTGATACAGTAAACACAAATCGAAGAACCTAACTCTGTCGTTTTTATTTGTTTCATGTCCTCTGAAAAGATTTGGCTAATCTGCTTTTCAAAACCAGCAGTTTAATCGTCCTCATTATCCCCTTTAATTTTTAATTTTGCTCTTCCTGTTGTTGAAATGTGATTAGTTTTGGCAGCTTTTTTTGTGCAAAACTGAAAATACAAATCATGGAAAATTACCACTTTAGTTGTAGACAGCTCTTTCTCTGAGATACATTTTTTTAAATACAAAAATCTTTTTATGTCTATAAAGGATGGCATTGAACAGAGAAATTCTTGTCTTCAGTAAAATACATTCTTAATTGGAAAAACATACCAACAGTTTGTGTGATGTGAGTGAAAAGAAAAAAACACACACGCATACACACAAAAATAAAATAAAATAAAAACATCCAGCAGTCACAGATATGTGTGTTTGTAGTAGTCAAAAAGCAAGCAAAACCATTTGGTTGGCTGCACAAATGCAGTGGCTAGTGCAATTACTTTAATCATGCAGTCTACTGTAGTTTGTACATTGGTTCACGTGACAGAAAAGGGAAGCACAATGCACCCAAAGGGTTCAAACACAAAAGTTCAAACCACCTTGTAAGTCTCTCACAAAGAAGAAAGTGATGAAGTTTCCATGTAACAAGTATCATTCCTCTTCTTTTTTTTTCCTTTTCCTCTATTTTTATTTGCCTGATAATGCTGAAAAGCTTAATGATACTTATTATATGGGCAGAGAGATATGAGAAAACCTCCAAACACAGACAACCCAGTTGATAGATACACAATATTGGCACTTTACACAAGTCAAAAGGTCTAAGATCAATTTGTAAACACTGTTGTAGAGAAAAAAGGATGAGAAAAACCTCAAAAGTACTCTGGTCCTTGTGTCAAATTTGAGATTTTTCTGTTGGAAACATGTCCAAACTCAAATTGATTCATAGATCTGCTGACATGGGGTTCCAAAGAAAAAGGTAGAATGAACAATTAATATCTTACCTGTTGTAGATAGCTCATTTGACACCAGCAACAAGAATAGTTAGAGGAACAGTCGGTAATTCTAACTGCACTAACGAGCTAATGGCTAGTCCAAATGCAATCATGACCATCTTGCTGCCAACTTGAAACAAGACCAATCTCAAAATTTTCTTAGCAATTCATGAAAACTGCTATGAAACATTTTAATCTTTTTCAGTTTTGTATTAAAAAACCACTGGCAGCAAAACAGCCCGCACCATGCTGCTACCGCCACCGTGCTTCATAGTGTTCTTAGGTTTGAAAACCTCACTATGGAAACTGACCTCTATGTGAACAGTAACAGCAACTTCCACTTTATGAATTTAAGATGGTTTTTGAGCAGAACTAGTGGCAGCAGCAGCTAACTGTAGCACTTTCTGTGTCATTTCCAGTCATTTCCAGCAAAAATAGTCCAATGCTTGTGCTGGAATTATTGTGTAATGTGACACTGATACAATATGTATGAAATTCTATGATTTTTTTTATGCTATTGGAGTTGTTCTAGCCTAGCTTGGAACAGCAGTTATCTCATCAATTTGTTCAGAATTAAACTCATTTTTTCCAAACTGAGGTTGTTCAAAGAGCTCTCTACGATAAGTTACTTGGTCATAACCTTTTCCACAGAACCCCATGGATCTGAGTTAAAATAGGCCTCGTTCAAGCCAGTCATTCAACAACAATAAGTGCAGTGTATAAGTCAAACTAAAACTCTGCTTGTCAAACTGTTAAAATCAAAATCTGTGAGACGGGAGCACAGATGAGGTGAAAGAAGAGTCTGAAGCAAGATCACAAGGTGAGAAAAAGAAAAGGAAAAAAAAGGAAGAGAGGTGAGAAGCCCTGGTGAGGACACAGCCTCGGGAAAGAGCCGGAAACTCACCGCAAATTCAGGAGAGAACTGTTTCAGCCAGTCTCCCAAAAAAGCTTCAAACTCATCCCCGTCCGGGAGGGCATCAAAGTCTATCACTTGTAGGATTTGGTGAAAACCTATGTCTTCAAGGCTGTCGTGAATAAAGACAACTAAACTCTTAATGTCACTTTACAAGAAAAATAATAATAAAAAGCAGCATTTAATGCATTGATTGTCTTTTAAACTATTTATTTTCCGCTCATGTTTGTGTCTTCACTAAAAGTTTAAAAGACAGGGCTGTTGGAGATTAACAATCATGTCTTATAATTAACTTAGTCTAAAACAATGAATACATAAATAGAGACATTTTTCATTGAATAAACAAATGTTGGTCCTCAAGTGCTTTAAGTACTAAATAAAAAAAACAATATCCTTATCAAAATATTCATTTAATGGCTTACTTCATACATAAATACATGTTTAGGAACACAAAAGCAAACCACTGAGTGGTCAAAATGACTTCACTTGCACACATTGAAGTTTTTAGGGTTTCTTTTTTTTTTCTTTCTTTCTTTGTTCAGGAGGATCAGAGGAAGATGCTACAAATAAGCCATCCGCCGTCCTTTGTTTCTAACTCTCTGTCTGTACCTTTTCCCCAGGACCGCCGCCAGGTACTTCTTCACTGCCATTTGCTTTCTGTAGCGGCTGTAGCTGTCTGTGAAGATCCCGTCTGAGTGTCGCTTGGACAGGGGCTCCGAGCTGTCATCCAACGATTTCCCTCCGCTGCGAGAGAAGAGGAGAGGCACCACAATGATCAGATTCACTCAGACGTACCCACCATCCCCACCCGCCTGCATTTGAACCGCTGTGCTTAATAAGGAAAATGATTAGAGTTTAAGATTTTCAACTAAAAGAGACATAATCCTCTACCTGTTAAACTTTGAACCCACCCCTGGAAGAGATCAGTGTATCAAACTGCACCCCTCCTCCCTCAAACCACTGAGATTTAGTCCCACAAACGATTTATAAGGAAATAAATTCAAAATAGTCAGCTAAGGAAGTAACACCTCCAAAATTAATTAAAGCACTGCTTTTGCTCTCACTCGGGGATTTTATCAATAAAAGCTGGGTTAAGGAGTAGAGAGTGTGGGGGGNGCTTCAGCAGGGATAAAAATAGAAATGTTCAGTACGTGAAACAGCGTGAGTTATGAGCTTTTAAAGACCCATCCAACACAAACAAAGACAAAACAAGGACACAAAACACCCGATTTAGGACAGGAAAGGGGGACAAACAAGAAGATGTTCTTACCCTACACGTTTTGCCATCAGAGAATGAAGGTATTTCCTTGCTGATAACTGACCCAGTGCTTTCCTGTAGGCTTTATTAAACATGCCGTCTGCATGTCTTTCCGTTCTGGGATGATATAGATAGCCACACAGTAAAAAATCACCACACACCCAGCGCAAGAGGCAACAATTATATCAAATGTGTCTATTCTGCAAAACAAAATATCCATCTGAAACTTGAGCCTATCTTTTTTTGTTAAAGAGAGAAAATTCAGCCTGTTAATATTTATGAGATCATATGTTCAATGTTTTGGAGACTGGCTCTAAATCTAAGAATTTTTGGTAGAAAACTATTTTTTTAATTAGGATTGCAGCTAAAAAGACGAATCCACCGGGAGGGAAACTCATCTTCAAAATGCCCAAACTCTTTTTCTGTGTGTTGGAAGCTGCAACATTTCGACGATACATCAATTCACACGACATATACAACATGTAAAGACAGAGATACGGCAATGAGATGAAAAGAGAAGAAAAAATAAAGTTGTTTTTTTGTCCTGTTCAGTTTTCTTTTTGGTGATACTCACCTTTTCTCTGGAGGGTAGAACATAGTGAAGACGTCGTCCGTGACAGATGAAGGGCTTCTCACCTCTATTTGTTCTCCATCATAATCCAGAGACGGTAAAGAATTACCATCCTCATCATAAACCTCACTGTCAAGTCTGAACAGAGGCAAAATGACAATTATTTTCCAGCCTGAACTAAATATAAATTGGAAAAGAGTGTTTTATTCAAACCAAAGCTACAGGAGAATGTATTTCTTCCCATCTGTTCATTCAGAAATGTTATTTGATGCTTCCTTTTTGATCCCTTTTAATTATCCAATCAGATAAATTGCTCGATTAATGGCTGCAGGTCAGGCTGAGACTGTACTTCAGTCTAAATTACATTACAGCTGCTCCCTGGAGAATGTATCTCAGCCCTATAGATTGGCTGTCATGATGTTATCCAGTAACCCAATAAGCTRTTTTCCTCAGAAAAGAACTAATCCTGGGACAGAAAGGACTTTCAGTCTGCTGCTGTTTGGCTCTGTAAGGTGATTCTCTTATGTTTGAACCATAAAAAAGTCAAAGTCAAAGGCAGATCAGAGCAACCTACCTGAAACTTGGAAAGCTAATCCCCACAGGTGAGCAGGTGATGCTGTGATGCATTATGATTCCATAGATGAGTAATGCTAAAGTCGCTTTTCTGGACATTGTCCTGCTGCACAAAATATAAAAAAGCAAAATAAGGAAAAAAGGTAAGTGGGAAGTTTTATATATATATAAGGAAAATTAAGATATATTTTCCCTCTTTTTAAAAACTTTTTAACATTTAGTACAAGTTTCTAAAAGCAAAGAAAAAGCCACTTTCCCCAAACAATTTCCCCATTTTTACGCTGCGTAAAAGCGCACAAAGGGCGCCTCTCCTTACCAGTTGTGTGACGCCGGACACGAGCTTGTGAAGAATCGGAGAGTGAGATAGGGTCTCTATCTCAAGCTCTCTTTCTCTCTCCCTCTCTAGCTCTCTCCCTTCCTGTCCTCCTCCTCTGATCTCTCAGTGAAGCGATTCTTCACTGTCCTTGGTGTTGCGGAGGTGCAGCCCTCCGTGCGCCCGCAGCCAACAGCTCACTTCTCGGGGACTTTTCTCAGTCGCTCCTGGACGGGACAGAGAGCTCCCCAACTTTCACGAAAAAAAAAAAAGAAGAAGGAAGGAAAAAAAACCAACTGTCTGCGCAAAGAATGAAAAACTTTCCTGCGACTTGACAAGTTCACTCCCTGATGCTTTTTATCCATGAATCCGAAAGGCTCCTCTTTTTCACTTGTCATGTATGGAAAGGGGTGGGGAGTCGGAGAGGTGGGTGGGTGTGTGGGTTGGGAGTAGTCGGCTGCGTCATCCACCCCCCCCCCCACCCCCCACCCCGTCCCATATGAGCGCAGACGTCTTCCGCGTCAATGAAAGACCCCGAGACAAGTCATAAAAGAAGAAGAATGTCTCTTGAATTCAGCCATCACCATTAATTAAAGTGCGAATTAATGTCAACTGCTGACGTCACGCTATAAATCCGATCACGTGACCGGCCTTCTGAAGCGCCGTGGAGAGGAGCTGTTCGGTGCTGAAATCATCTTCAGGGAAAAGGCAGAGGAGTGTAAAACCAATGTCAGTGAAATTAGTTTGAATGGTTTTATTGTTTTCTCACCTTTGTTAAAGTTTGGTTAAATTAAGGCCTTTAGATTTAGGAATTCAACAGTCGAGGTTAAAAATTCTAGTCTGGCTTATCAGTCTTGCCTTTTTTAAAAAAAAAATGACAGATTGGATTTCCTCCCTTTTCTTAAAGAATTTATTTTCAGATACTGATTATGTAGTTTGACTCATCTTTTTGTTCAGTTTTCATGTTTTTAAGCACAAACTGCACATGTTGTTATGGCAGGTGCAATTGACTGAACAGAACCAAAAGAAGCAGCCAAAGTCCAAACTTTAAAAGTCATTCAGGAAGTCTGAAAGCATTGTTCAAAACCAAATAATAAGATTAAATTTCTGCAAAGTGTAAAGATGTTAGCAGTAGTTTTAAAGTTCCCCACAGGCTTTTTGTCTTATTGGTTTGTTTTACGTTCTGAGGCGCCACCAACATATCTCTGAGACTGGATAATTAAACTTTGTCTGTGTGTGTTTGTTTTTTCTTCCCTATGTCTCATTAAGATTTATGGTCATCTTTGTTTGCTAAAACTTGTTTGTTTCCACTGTTGTGATGGAACTCCTACATGATATTCTAATGAGCAAAACGGAAATTTCCAAAACCATAAAAGACTCGTGACTCTAAAGACACAGATTTCCAAACAAGCGTTGATTTTCATTGAACAAAGCTGAAAATATGTCCCAAAATTAACACTGAAGACATATTTATCATTTTAGGTCATTGATAAGGTTTCTGTACCAGAATGCTATTTTTAAAAACAGATTTCTTTGTTGCTTCAACATTGCACTGCAGCCTCCCTGCAATTWCAGCTCCAGCTCATTTAAACAACCAATTACTGGTTTTTCTGATTTTTACAAACAGTAACTTAAAACATGTTTGAACTCCTTTTTAATGCCTCAGCTTTCCCTTTTTAATTTGAGGCAGCTTTGTTCTAGAAGGTCATTTTCCAGATGATCATTATGCTCAAACCCCTGATCCTATGAGCCGATCTCCCTAGCATTAAAAAAAATGATTTTTATCTTTTTAAACATGTAAGGACAGCAGCCAGATGAACAAAACCAACTTGAAGATTACATATTTTTATCTGAAATGTTGGGAAGTCAAAACTTAGAGCTGCATCAGACTAAAAGTCCCTTTCAAGTTAACAATTTTCTGTTTAAATGTTTTTTTTCATCCTGTTCATTAGGAGTCCAACATGTCTTCTGTCCACACAGGCTTCAGGACCATGAGTTGAATCTTTAGTGGGTGATTCAGACTCTTTGGTTAGCTTCGCTCTCTGACGTCATGTGACGGTTTGCTTTGCTCAAAGCAACACTTTCCTTTGAATAATAAAAGAGAAAGAAACTAAAAGAAAGGGGAAAAAAGTTCTTTTTAAACTGAGGCCCTCTCTTGCTCTGAGTGAGCGCTGCACCCCAGTGGTTCTGAGAGGAACATGCATTGCTGGGGTTTTGATGCCCTGTACAGCAACAAATTCATCTTTCACTGTCTTCATTTGTCATTATTTATAAAGTGCAATTTGACTTTTAATGTTCCTGCTTTTAAAATAGACAACCACCTCTCGAACACTTAGCTATTTAATTATGAGTGGGGCAGTTAATCATAAGGTTTCCATGACTGTCTTATAGAGAAATGAATCAGAGTAATCATCGTAAAGTGGTGATTACTCATTCAGCTTCAATCATCTCCTAATAAGCGCTTCTTCTCATTATAGCAGGATATCTAAACCTAATCATGTCGAGCATACAGAAGATATGAATGTTTGTCTTTAATCACCCGATGCTTGACTGACCGCAGCTTTAAAACACTCTGCTGTATGTCAAACATTAATAAACCTGCTAAGTCTGGTCATAACATGTGGCAAGATTTACATTAAAGATTCATCAGTAATCTAAACGTACCATCTGTGATTAGTTGTTTCATCTGAATTTAAATGTAAAATGTTCAAACAGTTTTTTGACATTTTAGAGCCCTCTCAAATATATAAATGAGACTATATAATATAAAAAGGTTGTATTTTGTGCAACCACAAATTTGTAGATAAAAGTAACATTTTTGAAAATTTGTATGTTTTCAAATTTTTCATGTCACTGAAATAACGCAAGTTTTTTATTAGTAAGAAATGCAGGATTTTCTTTTTGCATTTGACATAGGTGGCCGTGATGTTTAAATCTCCCATCACAAGCAAGCACTGTGGGATTAACGGTTCTGAGTGAATTAGTTTTGTTCTGTGAACCTCAGAGAATGTGTTGCTTAATCTCCTGAAGGAGTTCCCCAGGGACGTCTCCTCAGTCCTTTTTAATTCCTCATACACGCTCAAACACTTGGCTTTACTAAGAAAGAAAACTATATTTTTATAGTTGCACAGATACTTACTGTTGAAGTGAAACGTTTTTTATCTGTCTTTAAGATAATAAAGTTTGGACTGATTTAACTTTCTCTGACTTTAATTAAATGTGTTGGATCGTGTCATTCAACACACCAGTCAATGTAAAAATTTAAGTAGCTTTCAGCCTGTTAGAAAATCACACACAAAAGGTTTGTGTGCAATACTTGAATATAATTTTCAGTATTAGAATTAGCCCACAACTACAATTTATCATTAAAAATGAACTCAAAATCATGAATGTATTTCCTCTTTGTTGGCATCGCCTCATTTTCATTGATTTTTAAACCCCTTTATGGGCAAACATTTATGTTTCTCTTTGATTTCACGTAATCTAACTTCATTCAGATTATTTAAATCTGATTGCTGGCTCTTAGTTTTGTCTAGGCCCAAATATCAAAATTATGAAGCCATCTTCTCTGATTAAAAAAAAGCTGCGGCTCTAGCAGTTCAAACATCAGAATGCAATTGGCTTTCAGTTCAATTTGATGGTTGAAATGTTTCCAACATTTTCACCTTGGTTTTTATATTAAAAAAGAAAAAAAGTAATGTGTTCTCTTTTGTGCAATCTTAAACTTGAAAATGCATTAATAAAAAATCACTTGTTGTACATGGAAGTGGAGTATTGTTGGTAATATCAACAAAGTATTATATAACTTTTTTATGGATTTGCAAAGAGTAGCTTCCTTGAATTTACAGTTTAATATTTTTTTCCTGRGTGACCCAGCTGTGAGTAGTGAAATTAGACCCTGCAGAGCAAAATTGAGCTTTTATCACTCCAAACAGGACAGCAGAGGAACATATGACTCAATCTAATTTTAGCTCTGTTTGCTTTTTATAGCATCTGCCGGCGCTGATATGTCGTGTTTGAAGATTTTTATTGATGTTACTGTCTCAAGGCTCAAATGATGACAGAACATGACTTTTGTTAATCACATTTGAAAGGGGTGTGTGTGTGTGTGTGTGTGTGTGTGTGTGTGTGTGTGTGTGTGTGTGTGTGTGTGTGTGTGTGTGTGTG